AGTAAGTAAAACTATTTTTAATAAAAAATTTTAAGTAGAGAAAATAAAGTAACTAAAATCTAAATTTAGAGAACTCATATTTTCATGGTTCTTAACATTAAAAATTTTCAAGTTTTCATAGTTCTTAACATTAAAAGCTTTTAAACTTTAAGTTGGTCTCATTTACTAATTATTTTTTCTAAATTGGACTACTATATTTCTAAATCTAAATTTTAGTAACTCCTAAAAAAACTCATACATATACATTTTTGGTTTTTAAAGATTGAAATGTCACTTGAGGACAAGTAACATTTTAAGTTTGGGGGATTTTGATACACCTAAAATATATAGTCTTTTTAGACACATTTTTATACCTATTTTTTAGATGTTGCGCTTTAATGGAAGGTATTTTTGTGTTTTTCTTGCAGATACAAGTAAAATAGAGAAAATGCTTAAAAGAGTGAAAATGATCAAATTTGGAGCAAAAAAGGTGAAAATTTGTGCAAAAGAGTTTGGCGCCTAAGTGCAAGATATGGCGCTTACGCACTGGTGAAACAGAGAAGGCCGCGCTTAAGCATCAGAGGCCCCACGAAGCGCCAGTGGCAGTTACTAGATGAGTAAAATTGGTTTTCATGAATTTCGAAGAGGTTTTTGAGGCACCCATTGACTTAATAGGGGTTGTAACCACGAAAATAATCATGAAAGGATGCGTCTCTTGAGAAAATACATTGAATTAAGACACATTTTAAAGAGATCCCAAGACACCTCTTTGAATACTATAAAAAAAGAAGAGAGGACTTAGAAAATAGTCCTGAAAAGGTCCGAAAAAATTGATGTGAGTCCTGAAAATATTGGCAAGTTTTGAAAGTGTTTCTCTAGGGAGTTAGTTCGGAGAGATTTTTAGGAACCACTTTTTATTTACTTTATCTTTTTTGTTATTTTGTTTTGAGTGATTAGAGAGAGGAAGTGAAGAGATTCAAAAGAACTTCAAGAGTTTGGTGGAGGACTTAAGATAAATTTTTATCTTTTTTTAGACTACTTTTGGTTTTAATCGAGACTTGTTGTTGGTTTGACAATGATTTCTTCTTTTAAATTAAAGTGTGGTTTTGTTTTCTCAATGGATTCTGAGTAGTTTTCTTTATCTTTCTTTTTAAAATAATAAGAATTATGTTTTATGTGGAGAATATTGATCTTTAATGTTGGAAGAAGTTTTAATGACTTACATCCTTGCACTTCATTATCTTCTTCATTAAGTCAATCGAGATGTTAAAATTTGTTATTAGAACATGTAAGAACTGAGCTGGTATTGTCTCAATCAACAATTGGGAAGAATCATACGGGGTTGTATGAATGGGAATGTAGTTCATATGATTGAGTGCAAATAAATAAGAAAATATTCATTGATTGGTGTAGAGTTAGAGGACTTTAAAGTGACAGGTTAAAGCCCCTAACTTGGTTTATTGTTTTAGGTTCTGATACGAGAATGTTAGCCCCCAAATGGAGGGAATCGAGGGAACTCTAGAGTGAGAGCTATTATCTTCTCTGCCTAGCATGTTTTCAAAAATATTCAAACTTCAAATTAATCAATGTTCTTTATAGCATTTCTAGTAAGGGTAAAGAATATTTTTGCTCCTATTTGTCATAACACAATTTGTATACTTCCACAACAGAATTCCTATACTTATTACTGATTCATGATAAGAAGAAATATATTTTCATATTAAGTTGTTTTTCTTCTTCAAATACTATAGTTATTTTTTTAAAATTGTTATTGTTCTATCAAAATATTAAAATTACCAAAAAATATTTAAGTTTTCATTACTATAAGAATCATCTTTAGTTTAAATAATTGTCATTTTAAAAATAGAATGTTTCTAAAAGTGCATATTACATAATCTCCCTGTATACTTGTGTAGTATCCCAATATAAATATATATAAATTAAAAAGTTAAATTCTTATTTTTCTTCAGGATCAAGTTTTTGGTTTTGTTGCAAAATAAGGAAATATAAGTGAAAAATACAATCAGAACTATTACTATATTGTGCATAAGCATTAAGTTCATGTACCATTCATCAACCACCAAAAAATTCTCAATTTAGAGATTTGGCTTTTGCCCTCTCCTCAGGTGACGAAACAATTTTATTATATGAAGGGCCTCCTTTCCTTCCCCAGATAACCCATACAAAAGGCTATTCAGCGCAACCATATGATCAGTTGACAAGTTCATCATGTCGAAAGCAGATTTGAATAGAATTTTCCCTGAGCTACCCGTGTCAACCAGAAAACTGCCCATCTGATTGTTTTTAATAATTATTATAATGATGATGATGTCATTGTGCGGATTCCCTACAGGGGGTAAGTTAACATTAGTAAAAATCATCGGGGGATGGGGCTTCCTCTTTGAAATGGAAGCAATAATGTGGCACTCTCTCGATCAACTCCTTTTTCGTTTGGGTCTTCTGCCAGAGTCTCCTCCAAGTTTGCTATCCTTGTGATGTGGATAGAGTTAGCTTGGACATGCCCATCCAAGTCATCTTCCTTAGGTGTTTTCCCTTTTTACCGAGTTTGTTCAGGGGTCCCGAACACTTTTAGCTTTCTTGCTCAAATTTACTCTTCAATCAAGCTATGGAGGTGCCTGCACTACTCTGTATTGTGGCTGTATTATTTATGGTAATTGCAAAACTTATTGGTTTTCAACGGGAAGGCTTTAGTTTTTATTGGCGAGGCTTTTCAGAAATATTACTTATCCTGAATAGCTTCCCAATTTAAAGCAGAGTGATCATTCGATCAGTTGCATATTCATGTATTTCAATCGGCCTCTCAATCTCTGTGGAACGACCAACCTCTATCAAACTAGGGTGAGGGCCTTTCTCCCTTCACCTGTCGTTCCATGAGGCTTTCTTGCCTGATTAATAGTTGAACTTATTGCCTTTTGAGATAGGTGAGTTTACGTACTTCTCTGCTGTAATGTGGTCGTTGGCCAACTCTAAGAGTTTGACCAAAGTTTCGGGTTTTCACAAACCCATGAAATACCTACACACTCTTCAACCCTTGCACATGGCAGCCTTTGCAATTTCGGGCTCTAGATTCTGCACTTCTAGCATATCATTTTGGAATCGTGTAACACCTCTGTAGGTCTCACTCAGTCCTTGCTTGTCATGTCATAAGGATTCTTAATCCGTACAGTCTTTCTGGGTGCTAGCGAATTGCACAATAAGTAGCTTCTTGAACTCTCCAAAGGAAGCGATAATCCCAAATGGGAGTCCGTTGAACCACTTGACAGTCAAATTTCTCATCATGGTATAAAACAATCCGCACTTCATTGCGTCAAAAACTTTGAGGAGGCATAATGTTAACTCAAAGGACACAATGTGATTGATCGAATCACTCTGACCTTTGTATAACTCAAGAGATGGAACCTTGAACTTTTTCGGGTCTCTGTATCAATGATCTGTTGGTAGAACATATTCTCTAAGAGGAGGTAAAAATCCATTCGGCCCACTTGCAGTTAGATCCTTGGTATGGATTCAACATTATCTTGGTACTGGGATTCTTCCACTTGTTTAACACCTTAAGCCATTTGATGAACTTGGGGTTCAAGTACTAGAGGATTAGATTGTGGGAGAGGTTGCGCTCTCTCCACATGGGTTAGTTCCACAATCTAACCTACCATTCGATCTATGAGCTCTTGTATTCATTGTTGAAAGGTTTCTCCTAGGTGTGTTCCTTCTCCCTGACACACTTCTCTTCTTGTTGAAGACACGACTCCACGCTCACTACACATTTTAGAATGTTGAATATCAAAATCTCTTTTGGGTCATGCATGAGGAATAAAACGTTGGTTGGATGAGAGAAATACGTGAAAATAAAGGAAGAAGAGTGAAAGAGTAATTAACAAATATTATTAATTCTCTGAGAATAGGTTTAGTTTTCTTTTTTGTGGAAACAATGTGGAAACGGCCCCTTATTTATAGGTCATAGGATTTGTCTAGTACATTACAAGATTGCCTCTCACTTAAAGAGAACATTACATTGAATTTATGAGCTATTAAACATTTACATATTTATAACCGACTTTGACAACTTTTGACCTTGATAACTGCCATTGGTGTCATTTTGTACTTGTAAATGTTGCTGGCACCATTTCATATTCGTAATTGCTTGACTTGGTTGTTTGAACGTCGCACGGTTGGCTAAAAGTAATCCAGCTGACTGACAGATATTCGATAGGCTTCTCTGAGGGAGCCCCTCATATGCCGCCGTGTATCCCAGGGAAAAAAATTGCGTGCGATAGACGTACGCAGCGTTGCGTACGATACCAGCGCTACGTGCGATATTGGATTATACCGAGGGTACAAGGGGGTTATATCCGCGGTATAACTCCTTGTAACCTCCCTATAACCTTCTGTAACTTATCTGTAACCTACTAATAAATTTTTAATATATGATAACATAAGCGTGAAACTTATTTTAGGTTACAGGTAGGTTACAGAAGGTTACAAGGGGTTATACCGCAGATGTAACCCCCTTGCACCCTCGGTATAACCCCAATACCGTACGCAGCGCTACGTACGTCTATCACACGCAAATTTTTTCCCTCATGAAGACTTATTTTCCTTAGGAAGGGTTAGACAGTTGGTGCATCAGTGTAATCCAATTGGCAACCATTCTTTGGTCGAGAAATCTTCATATAAGGTTAGGTGGGATTTTCACTAAGAGGCCATTGATCTTATGAGTGCCATTGCATCAATTATATCGCGGTCGGTCCAAGTGCGTGACAAATTTTGGTTTGAACAAAATTTCATTCGTGTTAACCCATGATTCAACTAACTGAATGAATGCTAGATGACTCAATCTTCTCCTATTCTTTTTGTATAATCTATTGAATTTTCTTGGGATTCATGCACACATTTTTCAAAGTGCACTCAATTTTGGGAGATTTCCACGGTATAAGGAGGCACGGGTCTAAGAACCAATACGACTTTCGTTGCCGTAAAAACCCAAGCTCCGTTTTGAATGGATGAGGGCAGCGCCAGTCGCCGCAGCCGTCGCCGCCGCATCAACCAGAGCCGCCGCAAGCGCCTCATCCCTGCGCCTCGCCAAGCTGCAAGTCGCAGACTCCCGCGCCTCCCCGGAAGTTCTCTCCTTCGGCCTCCTCATCCAACACTTCTCCGACTGCGGCCTCTTCCTTCATGGGCGGCAGCTCCACGCCCGCCTCGTCCTCCTCTCCGTCATCCCCGACAACTTTCTCGGCTCCAAACTCATCTCCCTCTACTCCCGCTCTGGCAACCTTTACGACGCTCGCCTCATCTTCGATGCCATCCCCATCAAGAACCTCTTCTCCTGGAACGCCATGCTCCTTGCCTACTCTTTCCATGGACAAACAGCCTCCTTTTTCCGCCTTTTCTGCTCCATTCCCACCTCTCTCCGTCCCGATGCCTTCACCCTCTCCTCCCTCCTCAAATCAATCTCCTCCCAAACCAGCGTTACCGCGACAAAAGAAGTCCACTCCTTCTCCCTACGCCTCGGCTACGACTCCGACTTGTTCGTTTCAAATGGTTTGATAACTGTCTACTTGCGCTCCGGTGATATCTCATCTGCACGGAAGCTTTTTGATAAAATGCCTGAGAGGGATGTAGTATCCTGGAATTCGATTATTTGCGGATATGCTCAGGAAGGACACTACGCTGCTTGCATTGAACTCTATCAGGATATGAAAATGGGAGTAGATCGAGTGATGCCAAATGGAGTAACAGTTGCTAGTGTGCTACTCGCTTGCTCTCAGCTCAAAAATCTTTTATTTGGAATGGAAGTCCACAGGTTTGCCTTGGAGAGTGGGATGGGAATGGATTTCGTGGTCTGCAACTCCATCATTGGGCTATATGCAAGGTGTGGGAGCTTAGACTATGCTCGTAGTTTGTTTAATTGCATGGTTGAAAAAGATGAAGTTACTTACAACACCATGATTTCTGGTTATATGTCTTATGGGTTTGTTGATCAGGCAATGAAACTCTTCCATCTGATGCCCGCTCCAGTTCTCAGTACCTGGAATGCAGTAATTGGTGGTTTGGTTCAAAATAATTGTTTCTCACACATTCTCGACTTGTTTCAAGCCATGCAAACTGCTGGTTTTAGGCCTAATTCTGTAACAATTGCAAGTGTTCTTCCTGCCGTTTCCTGCCACTCGAACCTATTGAGAGTGAAACAGATACATTGCTATGCCATTAAGAATGATTTTGATCAAAATCTTGTAACAATTGCAAGTGTTCTTCCTGCCGTTTCCTGTCACTCGAACCTATTGAGAGTGAAACAGATACATTGTTATGCCATTAAGAATGATTTTGATCAAAATCTTTATGTTTCAACTTCACTTATTGACGCATATGGCAAAGCTGGATTTCTCGAAGGTGCAAATTCGGTTTTTGAGCGAACCGCGTCTAGGAGTGTCATTGTTTGGACCGCCATTATATCAGCATGTGCGATCCGAGGCGATGCTGATGCCGCACTTGCCTTTTTTGGTAGGATGCTTCAGGTAAGGATGCAGCCAGATTCTGTAACTTTCACTGCAGTTTTGTCTGCTTGTGCTCATGGTGGGGAAGTTAAGGAAGCTCACAGTATTTTACATGTTTTGATGCCTGAATGTGGGATTTCTCCAGCAGTAGAGCATTATGCTTGCATGGTTGGTGCACTCAGCCGCAAAGGGATGCTTACAGAAGCTGTTGAGCTCATTGATAGGATGCCAGTAAAGCCAAATGGTAAGGTGTGGGGAGCTTTGTTAAATGGAGCCTCAGTTTATCGTGATGTGGAGCTAGGAGAATATGCTTTTGGACGGTTGTTTGAGATTGAACCTGGTAACACAGGGAACTTTATTTTAATGGCTAATTTATATTCGCAAGCTGGGAAATGGAAGGAAGCGGAGAAGGTGAGGGAGAGGATGAAGGGAGTGGGATTGGCTAAGATTCCTGGTTGTAGCTGGATAGAAGGAAGCGGCGGAATGCAGGTGTTCATCACTCGTGATGTAAATAATGAGCATTCTGAAGAAATATTTTTTCTTCTTGACGCTTTAGTTGGAATGATGAGAGAAGAAGGTTATCTTACCAAGGAGGAACTGGATGAAGAGAGCTGCTGCCAATAAATTCTTCAGGGAACTGTAAGCAAACGAAAGAAGGCTTGAAATTTACCATAAAATTAGAGGAAATCATGAAATGAACGAAGATCTCCAGCTCGATCATGTAAGTAAATTTTTTATATTTTTTCTTTCTTCATGCTTGCCACTTTCTATGCATATGGCTGATGCATTTACCGTTATTCCTGGAGCCTCGTTTTTTTTAATTATTTTTATTCCTTGATATTCATATGGTAAATTGTGGCTTTCATTTTGTTTTTTTTGGCTCTTTGTTTTTATTGGCTATTCAGTTAGCTAGTCTTAAAGGTCATGTTAGGTCCTTTAAAGTTGTTTCCTTTGTTCGGATACATCTTAAAATCACAACTATTTAGATTTCAGCTAACTCAAGATGGCCTATTGTTTGGATAAGATGGATGCTCTAATATCATTTGTTGTAAAATCATGTATCAAGAACAAATTCGGTGTACATGAAAATAAGCAACAACGAGATCTAACAAGTAGAAGATATCAAACAAATTTGCATATAAATAGGACAAATATCAAGCGAGCAACAATAGCCTATACACGAGAGAGGAGAGAAAGCATTCTACTATTAAGAAATCAAACGAATTTACAAATAAAAATGATAGAAGAAAGTATTTTCTAAAAAAACTTAAAAACATAGGATTTCATCACAAAAAGTGTTTCATATTTTTTTAAAAAAGTAGGAAAATCTTCTAATTTCACATTGAGATATGAGAACCATATATAGAGATAAACAAGGAGATAAAAATATACCAAAAAGTTGGGATGCAAGTTCATTTCAAACTACAATGGCATGTGGTATTCTATAAGGGTTTAGACATGAATATAATTAGGTTGGGACATTAACACTCATTGGACATGGCTGTTGAGTGTGGAGCTTGACTGGAAGTAGTAGGAAGCGACCAACCACAACAAAAACGCTCAGGAGCCTGGGCAGAGCGGCGCGCCATGTGGGACGCCCCCCACGTTGGGTTCCTAAGCAAGTAACGCCTTTGCACAATTGTCAGAGCGCCTCCATGCTTGGTTATAGAGGGCACAACACCCAGAGCCAGGTGCAATTTCTCTTCTGATTCGGTTAAAATTCACGATTTTGAGCGATGAAGGTAGGCTCTCGGCGTGTGGTTCTCTCAACAGGTTTTTCATGAAGAAGAAAAGTGTCAAAAAGGAGGATTTTAGCGTGCATTTCTCCTATGAGATCAAGAGGAAGGGCAACAAAGTCCTGCAAGTTTTATTCATTGTAGAGAGGAGATCTGAGTGAGTTTTATGTATATTTTTGGTTCTTCCTTGAAAAATTTCTTGGTGATGTGGCTCATTGATTTTTTCACGTTCTTGATTTTTTCAAGTTCAAGTAAAATTTTGGTGTGTTTTTTCTTGATTATTTTTTGTTGTGCTTCTGTTTAAATACTTTGTTTCGATTTTCTTGAATCAATGCGATCATATTCCGCGATGTGGTTTTGATTTTTAATTTGATCGAAACCCTATTAGAAGTATAGAGAGATTTCCATCATCCCAACAAAGTAGTATCAAAAAGGAGTGTTGATTCGAGTGGGAATAATGACTGAAAAAATAAAATAAAAAGTGGAGAAGTTCAATGAGACGAACTTTGCGATGCGGAGGATGCAAGTGGAGGATTTGTTGTATCGGAAAAAACTGTATTTGTCATTACGAGGTATCACAAAGAAATCTGAGTCTATGACTATGGAGAAATGAAAAGTTCTGGATTAACTAGTCTGTTGAGATCAATATAGTGAATGAGAAAACTACTCCGAATCTCATGATGACATTGACTAATATGTATAAAAATCTCCTGCTTTAAATAAAGTTTTTTTTGATAAACAGACCATTCAACATGAAGATAGTGGAAGATAGTTCTGTGCAAAACATGTGAATAATTTCAACACTGTAGCGAGACAATTGTGTTTTTTAAGGATCATGTTTGATTATGAGGTCAGTGCACTATTGATACTGACTTCATTGCTGGGCAAATGGGATGGTTTGGTCATGACGGTGAGTAATACTTCCGTGAATATGAAGTTGAACTTTGATGACACCAAAGGCTTGGTGCTGAGTGAAAAAGTTTATGAAAGTCATTGAATTGTGAATCATAAGGTTCTGTGTTGAATGCGAAACATAAAAGAAGAAATTTAGACAAAAAATTGGACAGAGACAAATTCAAGTCTAGAAAAAGAAAGTCCAGGTCAAGTAGAGGAAATGATAGAGGAGAATGTGAAACTATGAAAAGAAATTGCATTTCAAAAAAGATTGTAAAAGTTCAAGGAAAGCTGGTGGCTAAGGACATGAAATAAATCTCTCTACAAATTTCTCTGTTGGCGAAATTCAAAATGACTCTCTGGTGTTATCTCTAGTAAGCACTAAATTTTGGATAGTAGATTCAACTGCTTATTTTCACTCTTGCCCTAATAAAGAGGTATTTAAAAATTATACTCACAGTGATTTAGGGAAGGTTTAGTTGGAAGACAACAATGCCTACAATATGATAGGAATGAGTGATGTGTATATCAAGTTACCAAATAGAATAATCTGTAAGCTTATTAAGTTAGACATGTTCCAAATTTGAAGATAAATCTCATCTTTGTGAGCCAGTTGACGAAGTCAGGATTCGTGACAATTTTCATAGGTGATTTGTTGAAGGTGACCAGAGGGGCAATGGTGATGGCTCAGGATAATATTGAGGACACTTTTTATCTAATCAATGAAATGACAAATTTCATTGATGTGTCTGGAACAAAGGTTGATGTAGGTTTGTGTCACCGTAGGCTTAACCATATGAGCGATAAAAGTATGCAATCCATACTCATAGAATAAACTTCAGAGTTTGAATACAATAAATATTAATTTCTATAAAGAATGTATATATGACAAGCAAGAGAAAGTTTTTTTTTGTAAAAATGGGCTAGCGGTGAAATCAAAGAAATTTGAATTAGTGCATACAGATGTATGGGGTCCTACTCCATTTTAGTTCATTGAACGGTCCCACTAATTTGTCACGTTTATTGACGACCACACATGAAAAGGTAGAGTTTACATCTTAAAGCAAAAATTTGGCGTAGTGGAAATGTTTAAAAAGTGGAAGACTATGATAAAAAAAGAGATAGATTTGAAGTTGAAGTGTTTCAAATCGGATAATGAGGGCTAGTGTGTTCATCAAAAGTTCAGAAATTTCTGCGCTCAATAGAAAGATACGAGTTCACTGTCTCAAGGAGCTGAATGGTGTGACTTAGCGTGTAAATAAAACAATTACGAAGCGTGCCGGGAGCATGAGTTCGCATACAAGCTTGACTAAACAGTTTTGAGCTGAAGCAGTAAACTTTGTTATTTATTTGATTAACCGTGATCCATCAACACCTTTGGAGGAAGACTCGTTTGAAGAAGCGTGGCATGATAAGGAGGTAAATCTATCTCATTTAAACGTGTTTGAGTGTATTGCGTATGTATATATTGATGAGATATGTTGATGAGGGTTTAGAAGTAAATTTGACTTGAAATCTATCAAGTGCACCTTCATTGGATATCACTCATATCAACTTGGGTACAAGTTCTGGTTTCGACAGACTCATAAATTTATCAAGATCAGGAATGTTACATTCAATAAAATGATGTAAAAGGACAGATTTTGAACTCAGGATAGACTGTCAGAATCCAAGTATGTTGAGATAGAAAATACTGGTGATAAGAATGGTGTATAAAGATGTGCTCATCTGATGGAGCACAGAAAGTTCCTCAATTACCTATTACTGAGGTTGGGAGGTTCAATAGAGTGATGCTACCGGTAAAAATGTTTTCTCTTTCGTTGAACTATTTACTGTTAATTGATAGTGCTGAACCAGAGTGCTTTGAGGAGACCATTCAAGTTGAAGATTTAAGTGAGTGACATCTTGTCTTGGATGAAGAAATGCAGTCTTTGGAGTCAAATTGAACCTGAGATTGACGTTATTATTAGATAGCAAAAGGGCATTATAGAACAAATGGATCAACAAACTGAAAGAAGAGTTAGATGATAGCAGACGCTACAAGGAAAGCTTGTTGTGAAGGGTTTTCAGTTGAAGGAAGGAGTGAAATGCATAGAAATTTTTTCTTCGGTGGTGAAGATGAAAACCTTCAGGTTGTGCTGAGTTTGGTAGCAGAGGAAAATCTATATCTAGAGCAGTTGGATGTAAAAACAATTTTCTTACATGGAGACCTGGAAGAGCATTTATACATGGTGCAATCCTGGGGTTATAAGATTTCAGATAAAGAAGGCTTAGTCTATAGGTTGAGGAAGAGTCTTTATGACTTAAAGCAGACCTAGAGACAGTGGTACGTGAGATTTGACATCGTCATGTCAGACAGTGAGTACATGAAGTACCAGATAAACAAATGTTGCTTCATCAAACACTTCGATAATTATTATATCTTGCTGCTTTTGCATGTGAATGATACAATGATTGCATGAGTAGATATGAAGAATATTAAAGACTTAAATGAATAATTATCAAGTGAGTTTGAGATGAAAGATTTATGTCAAACCAGAAAATTATCAGGATGAGAATTAACAGGGACAAAAGTGCATGTACACTGAAGTTGTATCAGATAGAGTATGTTGAGAAAATCCTACAGAGGTTCAACATGGGTGAGGTAAAACTAGCTTAGACCCTCTTAGACAGGCACTTCAAGCTATCTAAGCGGCTATCATCTAAGTCTGAAATAGAGTAAGCAAAGATTAGGAAAACTTCATATGCTTCAGCAGTTTGATGTCTGATGTATGCTATGATTTGTACCCAATCAGATGTTGCATTTGCATTGAGAGTGATCAGTAGGTACATGAGCAATTCAGGTAGATATCATTGGGAGGCGGTGAAGTAGATTCTCATGTATTTAATGACAACAATCAACATGATACTTTGCTATGAAAGTGCGAGATCAGTCTATAGGAATTTATTGATTCAGATCTGACAAGAGATTTGGATGGTAGAAGAAGTACAACACGATAAATCTTCACTTTGGGGAATGGTGAGTTGGGTTTCCAAGTTGAGTTTCCAATCTGCAAAAGATTATTGCATTTTCAACTATAAAAGTCGAATACATTGCCATCATTGAGGATAACAAGATGATGATTTGACTATAAGACTTTATGATAGTATTTGGCAAAGTGTAGGGGAT